GCTCAAATGCATATTTTTTTCAAGCAAGGTCAGTAGTTTTGAAGAAACTTTGCATTTTATGGAATATATTTAAGCAATTCACCAGGGATGACTACAACTCCTTTTTTTTATGTAGGGTCAAGAATGAGGCTTAGAAGTATGTGCATTTACATTAAAACTTGCTTACAAATATTAACTGAAAAATAGCACACCATTAAAACAGTAAAATCTCATTTTTTAGATTAAAAATATGTATATAACGCACAGGAAAGATACATGGAATATATAGCCATGGTTTTCTCTAAGGACAAAATTGCAGACTGTTTTAATTTTCCCTTTTGTATTTACTTGTCTTTTTAAATTTTCCATAAGAAATATGTATCCCTTGTGCAATTTTTCTTCAAATTAGTGTCCAAGGACAAGAATTTGGGTACACGTGCGATGTTAAAAAATGGTTTTGTTTTTTTGTTTGGGTAAGGATTTTATCATTATAGCAGAGAGATGGGAAAAATAATATAAATATTTTTCACTAAAAGAAGAACATTATAGTGAAATTATAATCAAACTGTTCTCATATAAAAACAGTTGTGACAACCTTGGGTAAGTCACCTAAACTTCTGGACATTATTCTTCCATATATAAATGAAAAGCTCAGTAATCTTAAGTGTCCCTTTTAGCTTGAAAAAAATTACTATGACTGCCACATTTCTCAACAGTCTTTGGACTTGATAAATTAACTCCTGTCACCTTTCTCTCTCAATGCCTAAGGAAGGTTCTGATCCTCACCTACATGCCCAGAAAAAGACACATTATCTAAGAGAGGTAATCTTAATGAAGCAAGGAGAGCCAGTAGGATCCTTCTTAAAACCTGGGAATTCCTTAGGCCCTGGGATAAACTCAACTATTGCAATTGCTAGGGAAAACTCAAGTTAATTACTGGATTTTCTAATTGCAGACGGCATCGTACATTCCTGCGTGCATCCCCTGTCCCTTTTGTTTCAGGAAAGTTCCTCATCCTTAGATGTTAGCCAGGCACAATGTGCTTTGTCCTTGGTGCCACTATTTGGCAAGTTTTAATTGACAAGATGAGAAGATAATGGGGAACCAGTGCCCCTACCCATCACCTTTTCATATCTTTTTCCTTAAACTTTCCTCAATTGTTACAATGTCTGCCATTTCCGTCCTAATTCTTCCCACTCTCAAGGTTTAGCATTCATTTTTCTCCCTGGAGCATTACCCCAATTATTTTCCCCACAAAAAAAACAAAAACAAAAACAAAAACAAAACAAAACAAAACTTGCAAAGGAATTTCTATGCACTTATTGCCAATACCACACAATTTAACACATGCTATCTTTTTGGTCTATGGTATCAACTATTTATTTACACAAGCCTTTTCACTCTTGTTGGAATGTAAAAACCTCAGTAATAAAGACAAAGCCCTTAACTTTTCTTACTATTCTAGTAATTCCTGACATATCATTCATGTCACAGAAGATGGTAAAAGATACTTTTGATTGATGAAAGGATCACCAATTAATGATCAATTTTATTTGCAGCAGGTAGTGAAAAAGACCAACAGGTAGAACTAAAGGTTCAACTTCATGATTTTCTGTTTCAGGAAAAGGGAGTCGGTCTCCACCATCACAAACACTCCTTAGCCTCTCTCCCAATAATCCAGTATTTGTCTTGGGGAGACTAGACTGACTTGGCTTCTTGTTAAAGACTTAACAGAAAGCAAACTGTAAAGAAAGAACATGGAAGGTATCTGGATGCCTTGAGAAGTCAAAAAAAAGAGAAAAGTTATGTATGGATTTTGGACCATGATAGAATCAGAAAACTGGAAGATTTCTTAGAAATAATCTATGAAATCATCAGTTTACAGAAGAACAAAGTAAAACTCAGAGAGTGGCTTGCCTCCTAAGTCCAGGATTTTTCCTACTCTGGTCCTGATTTATTTTTCCTACGGTATTCTGATGAAACAGGATGTAATCAATAATTGTAGCCACTTTCCATCAGGAGGCAATGCATCCTAGAAGAAGGAAGGACATGTGGTGGAATGTTCAGGCTCCCCTCATTCCAATGATACACTGCTTCTCTTTCTCCATGCCAGTTAGTCTGAGTCTACTTTTATATTCCGCAGCTCTGAAATCAACATTTAGATTAAAACTAAATAATCCAAGCAAAGGAACATACCACTGGTTCAACTTTGGGTTAATATTAGGAATGACTCATGAAGCAATTCCTGAGAACTGAAAACATTGTGTGCTATGGGCTTGAAATCCTTCATGGACATTTTCTAAGGCCTAAAAATATGTTTTGTTAAACAATCTTCTAAAATGGTGTTGTTAATCAGTTCTTATCAAAGTTAAATTGTGTTGAATTTTGTGCGTGTGGTCTGCTGAAAATGGTGTAGTCATCCAAGACGTAGGCAATCTGACTTTTCTCCACGATGCTGTGGTGGGAACAGTTGGAGAGCTCATAGTTATTATTAGACAGCTGATGTGATGAATTCAGTCATTACTTGTTGAGATTTTCTACATCTTTAGAACATTTCAGGCAGCTAAGGAGAAATTATTTTATTAGCCAGGGACTCCTGTTAGTTTGAACTCCTGTTAGCTTGGTTTGGGTGAAATAGCAAAGTAAAGTATCCAGAAAAGCGCTGGCTTAGAATGCTGTATATCCTACAAGGTACTTGCTGAACAGCTCATTTCACACCTATAAAATAGGACACTAATTTTACTTCTTCACTAATTGATTCAATAAATCAGCAGTCTGTGAGTCATCATTGCAGGAACAAAGAGCAAACATTCTGTTTTTCCCATTGAATTTCCAGTGGGGGTTTGAAAAGAGGTTTAGAGGGAGAATATACAGTTCCCATGCTAGCATTTCTGAAAGAGGCTAGAATGACACTCTCCTCCAGGCCCTTTCCATCAGCTTGACTCCCCCTGCAAAAAGCAGGATATGGTGATTACGGTCCCTATTTTCAGATGAGAAAAGTGAAGCTTTGGGAGTCTGAGTAATTTGTCTAAAATCACTTCTAGTGAGTGATGGAGCAAAGGAACTGAGTGTGGTGTTCATACGCAAAAGCTCATGAAGTGGGTGGCTCAGTCAGTTAAGCATCTGACTTCCACTCAGCTATGATCCCGGGGTCCTGGGATGGAGCCCTGAGTCAGGCTCCCTACTCAGCGGGGAGTCTTCTTGTCCCTCTGCCCCTTGAACCCCTGACCCTGCTCGTGCTCTCACTCACTCTTTCTCTCAAATAAATAAAATCTTAAAAAAACCCCAAAAAACTCATGAAGTTTCTGCCATATTTCACTGCTTGCCTTATGCTAAAGCCAAGCCAAGCCAAGCCAACCCAACCAAACCAGAGATAGATCTGCTTGAACATTGTTGATACTCATGAAGCAAAATTAAGGGAACCCAAGTATATGCCCCTTTCACATCAGGACTACTTTTGAAAACCTCCAGTAACCAAAAAAACTAAACATGAGTAACTCTTCTCAGTTCAATGGATTCAGTCAAAGTGGGTAATGTAGGTAAATATGATATCTAGAGCTTATTTTAAGTTTCTGAAAGCTCTGTGTAAATATCCCATTTTAGAATTGCAAGGCTTATGGACAAAGGACCAACTTCTTCCCTTTCTATTTGTACCAAAGTTTCATCTTTTACACAATAACAGTATTTCCCAAACTGTATTTTTATGTTAATATGTGTACAGAGAGAGGAAAAAAATAAATTTAAAATAAAATTTGGGGTGCTGGGTGGCTCAGTTGGTTAAGCAGCCGACTCTCGATTTCAACTCAGGTCATAATCTCAGGGTCCTGGAATCAAGCCCTCCGTGCTCAGCGGGCAGTCTGCTTGAGGATTCTTTCTTTCCTTTTCTCTCTGCCCCTCCTCCCGTTCATGCACATATGCGCGCGCTCTCTCTCCCAAATAAATGAATAAATCTTAAAAAAATAAAATAAAAATTTAAAAGTAAGATGAGACAGACATCTGGGTAGCTCAGCTGGTTAAGCATCTGACTCTTGATTTCAGCTCAGGTCATGATCTCAGGATCGTGAGATCAAGTCCCATGTTGGGCTCTGTGCTGGGTGTGGAAGCTGCTTGGGATTCTCTCTCTCTCTCTCTCTCCCTCTGCCTCCCCCCCCCACTTGTGCATGTTCTCTCTCTCTCTCTCTTTCTCTCTGTCTCTAAAGAAAAGAAGGATGAGAAAACATCAGGATGTATGTAATACATGTTACTCTATTGTCAGACCTCTATGACTGTCTTATGTTTCATGAAGACATACTTTAGAAAACACTGCTCAATATAACAATTTCAAAGTTGTCCCAGGGAGATCCTAAAGCCTCAGGATTTTTAAGTTTCGCAATATCTGGGAGAGAGCAATATCTGTGACTAGAAGCCTTGTGATGAATGCCTGGAGAAACACTTCCAAAATGAACTAAACAGAGTTCTATTCATTTAAGTCAAATAAATGTATATACGGTGCTTGTTGAAGAAATCTTCAACAATACATCTATATCGTGCTGTGACTAGTGTTCCTTTAAGACTCAGGACTTCTCTGACCATCAGATCTAAAGCTCTTTTTGCCCCCTCACATTTCTTGAGTCAATTTCTATCATATAATCCTGTTTAATTTTTCTCACAGCACTTAATCATTACCTGAAATTATCTTGTCGGTTTGTCTATACTTAAAATCTGAGATTCCTGAAAGGTGAGTCTTATTTATGCTTCCAGCAATAACTATGGTGCCAAGTTTATTGAGAATAAATGAAAGTTGTTTCATTCATTCATGTATTTATTCATTCAACAAATATTTACTGAATATTTGTCATGCACCCCAAACCATTCCAGTCTGGACACAGTAGTAAGTAAAATAGATGTCAGTCTGTTCCTTGAATTGTTTGTACGTTGGATATTTTTTAAAAAATTGAATGGCCGCACTTCCTTTGGGAATAGAATATTTTAAACCACTGTAATTATTATTTAAAAATTCAAATTATCAGTAACTAATTTACCTAATTCTGTAAACATGAATTTCCATACGACTTGTTTTCTTTGTAGTTCATTGTCATTTGTTGAACGTAGAAGGGCCAGTGGGGCACCTGGGTGGTTCAGTCGGTTAAAGCCTGCGACTCTTGATTTCAGCTCAAGTCATGATCTCAGGGTGGTGGAACGAGCCCTGTGCTGGGCATGGAGTCTGCTTAAGATTCTCTCTCTCCCTCTGCCCCTCCCCTGCTCTTTCTCTCTAAAAAAAAAAAAAAATAATAATAATAATTAAATAAACAAGTAAATAAATAAATAAATAAAGAAGGAGGGCCAAAATGTCTATTTATATTATCTCATTTCATCCTGCCAACCAGCCTGTGGAGGTGGAAACTATTGCTAATAGTGGAGACTATTACCTCTATTTGACACATGAGGAAATTGAGGCTATGGAAATAATTTACCCAAGACATTTAGTTAGGAGATGGGTGGTATCTGAACATAAGCCCAGAGGCCCTGAAATTAAAGCCTGCCTCCTTTTCTACCACATCTACTGCCTTCTTATAATATTAGTCTAGCCCAACAGTTATTTATAGGGGAAAAAGGCCAAAAGCACCAAAAATGATTAAGTCAACAGGACCTTTGTGTCCCATTTTGTAACCAGGTGAATTCTCCCTGATTTTTTTTTTTTTTTTCTCTTACATTCCGTTTCTGGGCTCTGGGCAGTATTTCTTCTTACCTCCCAAAATCCTGTCAGAACCATCAGGAGGTAGCCTGTATCACCTCAGAGGCGGCGACTTCCGCGTTTCTGACACCTCTGGTTTTCCTGGTGAATAAGACTGAGCAGTGTGTTTCATCACATGGAAGCTGCAAAGGGAAGATAAAACCAACAAAGGAGCTGAAGGAAATCACAGAAAAGAAGGAAGTTAGGAGAATAAAAAGCAAGCTCAAAATAAGCTAAATTTAGAAATCATTTGGAGTTTCATTGTTCAAGTTATGGAATTCGTCTTCTGCTCCAGTGGTCCAAGTTCGGCCACTAACTTGATATGGGACCTTATCAGGTCTCTTTGCCCTTCTCTGTGTCAGGTTGGTGACACTATGGAGTGTCAAGCCCGTCTTGGGCTGCTGACCTCGGATGTCCTTAATGGGACATAATGAGCCCTTGTATGCTTACATGACTGTTACTTTGGAATTTTCCTTTTATGTAGCCAAATATAATGCTAAGTGAGAAAATTGGTGTACTTTTTTTTTTTTTAGATTTTATGTATTTATTTGAGAAAGAGAGAGAGAGCATAAGCAGGGGGAGAAGCTGAGGGAGAGGGAGAAGCAGGCTCCCCGTTGAGCAGGGATCCCAATGCAGGGCTTGATCCTAGGACTCTGGGATCATGACCTGAGCTGAAGGCAGACACCTAACCGACTGAGCCACCCAGGTGCCCCATGGTGTACATTTTAGTATTAAAAAGTACAATTTGAAGAACTCCACAAGACTTGACTGAACACTCAAAGAAATCAAAAAGTGGTGATGGAAATAGTGATGAGGAAAGGGAGAAGAAGAAAAAGGTTGGAAGATAGGAGGAGGCGGGGAGAGGAAGGGGAGGAGGAGGGGAGAGGAAGAGGAGGAGGAGGAGGGGAGAGGAAGGGGAGGAGGAGAGGGGGAGGAGGGGAGAGGAAGGGGAGAAGGAGAAGGGGAGAGGAGGTGGGGGAGGAGGAGGGGGAGGAGGAGAGGAGGGGAGGAGGAGGAGGGGCAGGAGGAAGGGGGGGAGGAGGAGGAGGGGGAGGAGGAGGAGGGGCAGGAGGAAGAGGGGGGATGAGGAGGAGGGGAGAGGAAGGGGAGGAGGGGGAGGAGGAGGGGGAAGAGGAAGAGGGTGAGGAGGAGGAGAGGGGGGAGAGGAAGAGGGGAGATCAGGGGGAGGAGGAGGAGAGGAGGTGGGGGAGGGGGAGGAGGGGAAGAGAAATTAAAGGAACAGGAGCAACAGCAACAACAAAGAAAACAAGAAAAAGTTTCCTTTCCAATATAGACTGAAACTCTTCATTTGACATTTAAGTAATATTTGTCAAACTGAGTATCTTTGGAGGTCCCCTGGCTCATCGAATACAATTTTTCCCAAAGATTTCATTATTACCTTCTGCTGCCATTCCCGCGAAACCCCATAAAACCAAGGTTCAAAGTTCCTATTGCATATGATAGGCTAGTTAACATTTTTCTCTTTCAAGTTAATTTGACCAAACACATGGCTCATCCATTAACTAAATTTTATCAATTACTGCTCAGTAATCCTAGGATTGTGCCAAGGTTTACTCTTTCCTCACTGAGGCCAAAATCTGCCTGGGGTTGGGGTCTGACTTCAATAGTTCTTTCAAGGTTCAAATCAAACTCCTTTCCCTCTGCCTCCTTGATGCCCTAATGTGGAATAAGTTGGTCCCCTCACTGTCTACAGGTCCAATCCTGTCCACAGCCGACTTGTTAGAAGGGGCTGGAGCCGGATGATGGCCAATCCCTATATGAGGATGCTCACCCCACTGCTCACCCCCCAGTGCTCACCACACTGACATTCAGCGAGGGCATAGGATTTGCTTTGGCCAATGAAATCTGGGCAAAATAGAACTTGAGAAAAAGAAAGGTTTCTGTTCACCACAGTCCCCAGATTAGAAAAAGATCATATGGCAGAAGGAAAGAAAAGATGAAAGGGAAATAAGCAAGAGAGGTCAGAGGGAAAAGAGAGAGGGTGGTGGGCATGATCTGAAGGGAACAGGCAGAGGAGCAGGCTCAGTGTCTGAAGATAGCCTGGCCTCTTTGCTATCAACACCGTGCATGAGCCATAGCCAGGAGCCCAAGAGGAGCCGACCTGGTGTCCTACATTCCCACCTTGTGAGCCCTGTACATCTCCTATACTCAAGGGCCACGCTAGTTTTCCTTCCTGCCGGCATAGGATGAAGACTGTCCTTAGCAGCAATCAGCACGATGACTATTTGTCAACCAGGAGGGTGATCCTGGTCTGAGCCCTGTGTCTTTGCTTCAGCCCAGTTTGACTTGCTGTGTGTGGAGAATCCCCTACCCTATTCCCCCTCTGGCAGCAGGTCCACTGCTCAAAGCACTCATAAACCCCATGGAGCCCACCAAGCTTGCAGAGGGGGGCTAAATGGTCAAGGGGAAGCCTTTAGACTTGGGACTCGGGTGGGCTAGCCACATGCAACCTGAGAGTCTCCCTTAACTGCAGTGCGGTCACGCATATCTTTTTTAAACTTGGACTTGGCGTCTCCGATCTTCTGGCTTAGCAGCTGTCTTCGGGTTCACGTGCCTACAAGTGTCTCTCCTGCAATAACTAATCCTTGGTTTCCTTTGCAGTTTCCACTGCCTGGAATGACCACATGGAGTCATTTCTCATCCTTTCATACCTGCAGTAAGTCCAGTCCTGGCTCTGCCATCCTTCTCCACCTGCCAGGCACTTCCCGGCTGCAGATGAGGCTTTTCCCTGGTTGAAGAATTAGAGAGGAGTTAACCAACCTCTAAGCATGTGACAATCACAGTCTTACACAATTCACTGATGAATCACAGACCTGTACCTCTGAAACAAATAATACATTATATGTTAAAAAAAAAAAAAAGAAAGAAGAAGATAGTAGGAAGAGAAAAATGAACGGGGGGAAATTAGAGGGGGAGACGAACCCTGAGAGACTATGGACTCTGAGAAACAAACTGAGGGTTCTAGAGGGGAGGGAGGTGGGGGGATGGGTTAGCCCGGTGATGGGTATTAAAGAGGGCACGTTCTGCATGGAGCTCTGGGTGTTATACGCAAACAATGAATCATGGAACACTACATCAAAAACTAATGATGTAATGTATGGTGATTAGCGTAACATAATAAAATAAATAAATAAATAAACTAAAAAAAAAAAAGAAATAGAACTACCCTATGACCCAGAAATTGCACTACTAAGTATTTACTCCAAAGATACAGATGTAGTGAAAAGAAGGGGCATATGCATCCTAATGTTCATAGCAGCAATGTCCACAATAGCCAAACTATGGAAAGAGCCCAGATGTCCATTGATAGGTGAATGGATAAAGATGTGTTTCATATGGAATATTATTCAGCCATCAGAAAAGATGAATACCTACCATTTGCATCGACATGGATGGAACTGGAGGGAATTATGCTAAGTGAAATAAGTCAAGCAGAGAAAGACAAATACCATATGATTTCACTCACATGTGGAATTTAAGAAGCAAAAAAGATGCACATAGCGGGGAAACACATTGATGGTCACCAGAGGGGAGGTGGGTGGGGGATGGGGGAAACAGGTGGTGGGGAGTACTGAGTACAATTGTGAGGAGCACTGGGTGATGTATAGAAGTGATGAATCACCAAATTGTACACCTGAAACTAATATTACACTGTATATTTAACTAACTTGAATTTATTTTTTATTTTATTTTTTTTTTAAAGATTTTATTTATTTGACAGAGACAAAGCGAGAGAGGGAACACAAGCAAGGGGAGTGGGAGAGGGAGAAGCAGGCTTCCCACGGAGCAGGGAGCCCGATGCGGGGCTCGATTCCAGGACCCTGGGATCATGACCTGAGCCGAAGGCAGACGCTTAATGACTGAGCCACCCAGGCGCCCCTAACTAACTTGAATTTAAATAAAAACTTAAAAAAAATAAAAAAGCATGTAACAATCACAATTTTGCACTTATGCTCTCTTCTCAACTAGAGAAGAAGCCTCTGATAAAGGGGGAAAGCAAAAGCAAAGCAAAGAAAAAGAAAAAAAAAAAAGAAAAAAGAAAAAACAACAAAACCTGGTAGGGTTTCACATGTGAAACATTGTTTTTCCAAATCAGAGGGAAATAATTCTAGGGACTCCTCTCCAACCCCATTCTGTTTTTGGCTTTTGAAGCTAGTGCTTGTGTTTTTATTAATTTGCACCAAATGGATGCTTAGCAACAATCAAACATGTTGCATTAAATATAAAACTACTTTCTGAAGGAGTTCAGAATTACAAAAACAAGCTCGTTGGGACATAGCTCTTGAAGAGTCATATAAATAGAACATAAACATTTGAAGGATATATAAAGCTATTTCACCACATTCCATTTATTGATGGATGAAAGGCAGTACATCAAATCAGATAAAATTTTAATCTGGTTTAAATTAATTTTGTTTCATTTCATTTTATGGTACTTGCACTCCGAACTAAGAAAACTCAGTTTAGTTTTCTTCATGGCATGGTAACAGAAATAATTTTCAAGTGATGCTGATGTTTATTTAAATCTGATTCAGAGGACAGCACAGCATTTAAATTTTATTACACAATTCTTATGTAAACGCATGGGGTTGGATATCTGCTGAACTAACAATCCCCAAATTTTAGTGGCTCAACACTGTAAATCTTTATCAAGTACTTTCTTTACATTTCAATGTGGGTTGGGCTGGTGGGAGGTGACCCTTCTCCACACAGTATTCAGGGACCCCAACTTCTTCTGTCCATGGTTTCACCTTCCACTGGGGCCTCAGGGCCATTCACTGAAACCCAGATACCCAGATAGAGGAAGAGAAGAGAGTGGTTACATGGAAAGTTTTTACTAGGCTCGCCTAGAAGTCTACCACTCAGGTCCAAATTCCACTGCTCAGAACTCAGTCACGTGACTACACCCAAGTGCAAGAAAGGCTGGGAAATGTAATGCTGAGTCTCCTGGAGGAAAGGAGAAACAGTTTGGTGGAAAAGGGTCTGGCGATCTCAGTGACAATCGGAAAAGGCTCCTGGGTCAGGAAAGGGAAACTGGAAACAGGAGAAAGTGGCACTGTATGAAGGGAAAAGGCACAAAGCAAGGGGTCTGCAGTTTCGACCTTTGTCTGTCCACGTGGAAGATGGGGATCACAACAGGAGAGCCTCCTCTGGGCTCTGGAAGGTGTGGCTATGATGCCCCTCGCTGGGAGGTGACACAAGACCTTCATCCACTCTGGGATTTTGTTAGCAGCAGTTCATTCTGCATCCACTGTGTTTAAAGATGCTCTGCTTTCTTTTTCTGTATTGAAATGTATTCATATAATCTTGTGATAAGGAAGCACGCCCCATATTTCAGAAAGTCCCAAGAATGTGTGGTGTATCTGAGCGTGTGTGTGTGTGTGTGTGTGTATGTGCTGGGGGTGGGGGGTTGATAATGGATGGCTGTTGAGAAGGGAGGCAGACAGGGAGCTGAGATCCAGCAGTCAGCACAATGTTTCATAGAAACGAACTACGTGGGGGAATTGGTAGAAGGTTGAATGGACTTTTTCCCCCAACTGAATGCTTTTTACTAGGGTTCGAGTCTCCTTTCTCTGATTATATGTTATTCCTCCCAAAGATTTAGCAAAAACAGATTTTTTTTTTAAAGAACTAAAAATGCACTAAATCAACCTCCCGGTGGACAGAACTGCTCCCTGATACTTAAAACGTCTCAGATATGCTTGGGCTTATAAGTTACTGGAAGAGCTGATTTCCTATGTGGTGTTTAGAGGTGTGGGACTTTGAAAGGCTTCAACACAATATCTGAACCATCGATGGACTCACTCCTTTGGGGTAAAATATGAACAGTGACTAGAAAAGGAAGCAAAGCCAAAGCTAGCATAGATCCTGGAACCAAAATGCCTAGATTGACACCTGGCTTACCACCTGCTGCCTGTGTGACTTAGGAACGTTACTCAACCCTTCTGTGCCTCAGTTTCCTCTTTTGAAAATGGAGAGAATGTTAGTACCTATATCATAGATCATAGGGTTGTAATGGGTATGTGATGTTAGAAGGGCTCTTGGGAGGAAGATAGTCTGACTCCTCTATTAATATGGATATTCTTGAGAGCAGAATGTGTTCTCTCTCTCTCTTTACCCAGTGCCTGACACTCTGTTGGCTCATTTTAGATGAATGAATGAATGAATGAGTGAATGAATATCCTCAAAGGTACTTTCTTGAAAGACATTATGACATAGAAAAACCTCAGCAAAACCTCACTGTGTAGAGTCTTACAAATTGGATTGCGGTTTGGGGGCTCATCTAGAAACATTTTTATGAAGTATAATCTATTTATGTTTCAGATCCTGACGTATGGGGGATAGTGCCTTATTTTTATTTGATTTTGTATTTATTTTTCCCTTTGGCCAGATGACAGATTAGCACAGCCTGGGAAAAGAATGCTGGAAATGCAACTGGGGGCTAGACAAGTCTTTTTGTCCTTTGTGTTTGGCGTTGGCCTTCACCTCACCCGAAAAGAGCATGTTCACGGAAGAGGCCATTGAGGGGTTCACAGTAGCCTCTTCCCCAAGAGAAAGCAGAGGGGAGAGACACCTCTACACAGTCAGTCAGAGAAGAAGTCAAATTGGTCACAGCAAGCTGGCCGAGGAGAATGTGAAGGGCGTGGGGCTCAGACAAGAGATTTGTTTGTCTAAAACTGAAGTGAGAGGACTTTTGTCACAGGAAGAGCAGAGTGGCAGGGCTTACAGCTCCTGGAGAAAAACACAGCAGGGTTCCTGAAAATATGACAGCTAGAAATTTCCTAGGTCTAGCAGTGCCGAGGGCTGCGGTGAATATAGACTTCAGTTTGCAGGGGAGGGTAGGGGCCAAGAAGTCGATCCAGAAACATTTTAATCATCACAGTGTCTTATTGCCATATGGCACTGGATAGGTAGCAGAATTCACAAAGTGATTCAGTCTGAGCTCTAGGGTGAGGTGGCTGTTGGAATTAGCCTGCTGGGAAACTGTTGCTGAGAGACACTAAGCAGTAAATGCACGAGCCAGGACTGGGATGTAGGGGTTTGAGTCTAAACTCAGTTCTTTCCACTGCTCTGAGCTGCCTCGCCCTTCCTCCTTTTGTGACAGAAGATGCTGATAAGCCTGTAGCTGGGACTTATTGCCCCACAAATTCTGCCTGTAGTGGGCATCTACTGATATACTACCATACCGCCGTCTGTCCTTCAAATTCAGCTACCTTGGGGGTTTTATGAGCCTTCAAGGCCAACTCTTAAAGAACAGGGAGAACTGCACCGCAGTGCAGTTTGGAGAAGCAAAAAGCACTCCCTAACTAGAAAGAGCTCCCACTGGCCTGGCAAGGGGGGAGGTGGCTGAGTCTGGGAGAGCCAAGTCCCGAAGAGCTTGATGGAGATGTGAGAGCCCCAGGGTTCTAGCTGTGCGGAGGGAGGCACAGAGACTGCAAGAAGTCCTGGGACTTCAGTGGACGGCAGTGAGGCCAGAGGCAGATTGGAAACATTGGTGATTAGGGGCACTTGTCCCTTTTTCTATGCACCTGGGAACATCCCTAATTTCACTGTGATTCCGGGGATAGAGGGGCCTCAGAATTAATTATTCATATAGGATTTGCTGCTGGCCCCAAAGAACAGGACCTCAGAATCTGGAACTCTGATGCTTTATAGAGTATTTAATAAGTTGTGGTTTTGAGGGGCGCCTGAGTGGCTCAGTCGGTTAAGCATCGATTCTTGATTTCAGCTCAGGTCATGATCTCATGGGTCATGAGATCAGCCCCATGTCAGGCTCCTCACTCCTGAGATTGAGCCCTGGTCTGACTCCATGC